GGTTTCTTGTAGTCTTTGTTTATTTTAGTCATGATATTGAATTATCAATTACTAACTCTAGATAAACTTTAAGAGTTGTTCTTTCATTATCAGTGCCTTTTATAATACGTCTATCATTGATCTTTAACCATGCCTTCATTATCTAACTATACATCTTTACGCAATTATCAATCATCTTTGCACCATCCAAATTATTTAATATATATCACCAATATTATCATGATCATCTTTACCATCAGATATTATCACCGCTCAACAATCTTATTCAACACACACCCACCATCATATCAGCATACTATTCAAATCATCAATCTACCATCAATCATCATCACCCATCAATCATCATCAACCATCAATCATCATCACACATTCATCATCATCAATCATTACGCATCATCACCATCATCCAACCATCATCATCTATCTATCAATACACTCCAATCAATCAGATGCAAGCATCAATCAATCATGCATCATCACCAATCACACACTACACACCAAGTCCAAGAGACCAGTTCATTCAGCATCCAAGATCGAATCAATTTACATCAAACCTAGACCCTCACCAATCCATGCATCATCTATATCGATCATCATCATCATCATCATCATATATATGTATATATATATCAATGCATATTCACCATTCATCATCTTCAGCTAACATACAATCGTCATCCAACCCATCAATCACCATCTATCACGTCACAATAACCAATCATCATCACCATCACGCTAACCATCAAGCCATCTACAATAATCATCATGCACCCAACTCACCATCCACCATCATTCACCTAAGACCATCACCATTCATACACCTAAAATCGAGTCACTCAAGAGAACCCTGATTTCAACCCAAATCATCACCAACCACCATCATCACCATCACGCATCATCACCATCATACACCTATCACCATCATACAACCACTCAGGACCATCATCACCCACCATCATCAGACGCATTCGACCAATCATGCAACCGAGCTACCATCAATTCACACACCACCATCGACACGGCCACATCATCACGCACCACCATCGATCCTATATACCTACATGGCACTCAGGCCTATATACCATTCAATCTACCACGATGCATCATCATGCAACCGATCAATGATCTATCAGCCGAAATCATATCAAATACCATCGAGCCATAATCATCAGACATCAATCATCAGGACCGATCATCATTCACTATCTAAATCAGGACCACACCGATTCTCATCATGCATTTTTCACACCGACCACCAGTCAACTCATCAGCAACATCATCATCACCATCATTACCATCAACTTTATTATCATCTTATCTTTATTTTGCCATATCTTTATCACAGTCACCATTATCACTATGTTTATCTTAATCTTTGCTAAAGTCAGCTCAAAATCATTAAATCGTTTGTTATATTTACTTCTTTATTCCTGTTTTTATGCAATTTTGCTAGCATGTTTGCAGTGTTGCATTGTTTTGCGCTTGTGCATTGAGTCATTTTGGAGTATTTTCCCCCCATATAGCCTTGTATGTGTTTTTTACATATATATGTCAAATGTTTAGTCCATATTAACTTTGATGATTTTTGTGATTTTAATTGTTTTGTGTCAGCTGTGTCTGTGTACATTGTGGTAAAGCCTTCATATTGATACTTCTGATTTCAGTCCTACCTGTTTTGTTTGAAGTAGATTTTGCACAATTTATCAAATAAGTAATGTAAAGCCTCACCAACTGTCATTCTAATGTGGTGTCCCCAAACCACCACCATTACTACAGGCCATGTACCCCCCAAATCTACCTTACGACCAAGATGTCTATTTTGACGATGATGAGCGTGTTAACCTGCTGACCGACACGTCGCTCCACCAACTCAAACATATTGGGTAACTAATATGCTCTTGCTTTATCCTATATTTGCATTTATTTTTCTTGATTTTTAATATTTTCCTTACCATTTCCTCTTACCTTCTTGGACTGGTTGAATTGTGGTGAAAGTGTTTTAGTGAGATGTGTCTGGCCATGCCTGGAATTTCAAGTAGGTTTTCATAGTAATTTTTTTTTTTTTTTTTTTGTCTTGGTTTGAGAATGGTCACTTTTATTATCGGAAGGAATGGGTTGCTCCGGGATGGCTTCGAGCCCCTCTGTGCATCTCTATATATTGACTTTTAGATTTTGAAAAGTCTCGCTCTACCTACCATCTTGAATTTCAATGCATGGAGGGAGAGGTAGAAAGAAAGTGAGTTAGATGGCTGCCTGAAGTCCAGTGAAAAAGGTATTCAGTAAATTATAGGTACATTGTGGGCCTAGGACCTGCTCAGGGTGGTGGAAAGTAATGCATAGATCTCAGAACTTTGAGGAGAAAAAGAAAGGTAAGTAAAGTTTCCCTCTTTGTCTTTATTATTCTCACAATTGCTTGTGTCATGTCAGATGTTCATGCATATAGATGCTGAACATTAAGTAGAGTTCTCATTGTTATTATTATTTTTCATTTACTTTAGTTCTCAAAATTATTTTGGAAGCTTACTGCCAGGACGACAAGGGTAGAGTTTGACTTGACATTTTGCACCAATTTTATGGAGAAATTTTGTTCTGAAGATGCATGGGCTTTTATGATTTTCATTAACTTGTAGAGGGTGTAATTTTTTCTTTTAATATTAAATATTTTATTTTGATATTTGGTGATTTATGATTTTAGTGTCATCACTTCAAATATTTTGAAGTCTTTTAGATAGAAAATTAGAGTTCATTAGGAATAGCATTTATTTCGATTATAGTTCCCAGCAGGTTTAATGAATTATTGATAGAAAGTATTTTGTAATAGATGCACATTTTTACAGTTTCTTTTTCCCTCGGCACAAAATCAGGAATATTACATTTTAAAGTCTATTTGCTTGCATGTTCTCTAGCTCTCAAAGAGATGGAAGATGATATTTGCTATTTCCCAACTTTATTGATGTCTGTAGGAAAGAGGGTCTGATGGCAGAAGTCTCTAAATGATAGACAGTATCACCGGTGCCTGCGTTGGTGTGAGTATATTCATGTAGTTAAGTCAGTCTTCTCCCATCTCAGAGTACTTGGTTGTAGTCAAGGATGAGAATTTCAATCATCCTTCATCCTAAAAATTTGTTTAATGGCCCCAGTCAAGGATAGTTTCTTGCACAAATAGATTGAGAATGAAAGAGACACAAGTAGGTGTTAAAAGATTAGCATAGATGTAAATAATGAGAGTCCATAATTCCCCCAAAGGTAAGAACCCAGGATTATGGATTACAGCTTCATTGTACATCAAGATGGATAATGATTAACTGCACACTGCATGATACACTTGGTAGATTCTTGCTTAGAGCACTGCTACTTCCTTAATCCCTCATCTTCCAGCTTTTCCCTCTAAATGTCTCTCCTTCAAAAATGCTGTGTAATGCAATTTTTTTCTGAACAGGATGTTTAGCCTCTACTTTGTTAGATTAGTGTTGAGGAGTAGGAAAGTGGAAACTACTGGATGGGTGGCTGTAGCTGGGTTCTAGAGAGTGTACTTCTTAGGACAACCAGGACAAGTTTGCACTAATTTAATGGTGAATTTGAAAAGAAAGAAAGAAAGAAAAGCCCATGTCTTTCCAGTGAAATGTTCAACTGTATGTTTTATTTTATCATGTAACGATGCAGAGAGTTGTTGTGATTGATATAATTCAGAAATATTGTTTCCTCCTCAATCTTGGCTCACAATCTACCCTTGTCGGAACCTTCCGTGGATGGCTCATGGGTCTTCAATTTATGCTGGGTTGTTTGACCCTCCCTCCCGGTAACAATCGTTATTGATCAAACAGCGAGAGGGAAGCCTGGAGTCTGGAGGTCAGACAAGTCTCACTCAGAATCTGCTCCCTGAAGACTCTAAAGGTCCCATACAACTAGGGTATGTATTACTGCATGGTCTTTGAAGTTGTGGCGTGTAGTTACGGTGTGTTATTAATTTGCATTGTTGTGTGGGAGTGTTTTCTCAGAGGAACTACAACTCTCTGGTTTAAATGTTTGCTGTTGAATATTAATGTACATTTGTGCATTTTGTGTTTTGATGATGATTTCAAGACACTGAGATAAATTTCCTCTCATTCGAATATATTAAGAATTCACATTATTCTGTGGCATTTTCGTTTATGTTAGTTTTCTTTATTTTAGAATGGATTATCAAATTTTGACCATATTGGTACTTATTTGGCCTTAAAGATGTTGACTGAATAATGGCTGTGTTCAGAAATGGAATTCGCTCATTGATTTGTTGTCCTTAATTTATTCCACTTTGTTTTAAGGTGAGTGATTTCTTTATAAGATTGATAGACCAATATCATTTATCATATTACCATGCTGGTGGTTTGTAATGTGATATATTTTGTGTTTTTCCAAGAATTAACCAAATGCATTTTTGATAAGGCAACCCATAACTGAATGATCATCTCTCTAGCTGCTGTTAACTGCATGATCAGTATAGTCTGAACACTAGATGAGTAAATGAAATGTTAAAGAAATGATGAGTGAACAGATGGTGTGAATAGCTGATGAGGAGAATTTTTTTTTTTTTTCTTTCTTTCTTTTTTTACCCCCCTATGATTATGGTTAGGAGAGTGCTACTCTATACTTGCATGGATGTATTTATATACAGTGGTTGTATGTGTTTGTAAGATTGTGCTGTGTGTATGTACATGTATGAACATGTATATATTTACATGAATTCACATAGATACGTGTGTGTATGTATTTCTTATCAGATTTAGTTTAGCTATCAGAAGTAAATCCACTTTATCTGATAAAAGTGTGGTCTCTGTGGAATTTTAAATATATATTATCTAGTAATCCATGTTCACTGGGAATAGTATTTAAATTGATTTGTTTAGCAACTTTGAATAGGAAGAATAGAAAGATTAGAAAAAGGAATGAAAGACTTACAAAGAAGACAATGATTTTTTTCCCTTTTCTGTTTTGTCTTGTATAAGAATAGCTCATTGTAGATTAAAGCTCATTTATTTTTTGAAGATTGCAAATATTGAATTGTGTAATACATACAGTTTTCTAGTAGGTATTGAAGAGTGAAATGTGAAAGAATTCAGAATTTGCTCTTTTGGTAAGAAAATTTCTGTTGGGGAAAATTACTTTGATGAATTGTCGAAATCATGATTTTTCTGTCTCTATATATATATTGGCAATTCAAAGTTCTGAAATAAGGGATAATGCAAAATAAATATTCTTAAAATATTTTTGTAAATAAGAAAACTTTCTCTTCTAAGGTTTGTGGCTGGTGTGATCCTGCGTGAGAGGATCCCCGCCTTTGAGAGAATGCTGTGGCGTGCTTGCCGAGGCAATGTGTTCCTCAGGCAGGCAGAGATCAATGACCCACTCGAGGATCCGGCTACAGTAAGTTTGCCAGAATTCATTTTGTGTGATTTAAAACTGAAAGATGACCCAAGATTAAAAGAGTATTTTTTGAAGTGCGTGAGGTAATATTAATTTTCGTCACACAGGGAGAGCAGGTGTACAAGTCGGTATTCATCATCTTCTTCCAAGGTGATCAGCTGAAAATGAGAGTCAAGAAGATTTGTGAAGGTTTCCGTGCCACCATGTACCCATGCCCTGAGGCTCCAGCTGATCGCCGTGAAATGGCCATGGGAGTGAAGACTCGTCTGGATGACCTTAGCACTGTAGGTGAACCTCTTCCTCTTTAACGGTGCTGGTACAAATGTAATTCTTAAAAACTTTACTGCCCTGTTTTGTCTAATATTTTCTCACATAAACTATGTTCTATATCCCAGGTACTGAGCCAGACCCAAGACCACCGTCACCGTGTGTTGGTGTCGGCTGCCCGCAATATCCGTGCATGGATGATGAAAGTGTGGAAGATCAAGAGCATTTACCACACACTCAATATGTTTAACTTGGATGTCATTCAGAATGGCTTGATCGCTGAATGCTGGATTCCAGTTGCCAACTTGGAAGATGTACAGCTAGCCCTACGCCGTGGAACAGTAAGTGGTTGGAGACGTTTAAGCTGTAGGGTGCTGTTTATTTTGATATTAATTTTTTTCCTTCCTGTGACACTGTACAGTATGTTCTGCTTTTTTGATACTACAGATTTTGTTCATTGGCTCATTCTATCTAGAACAGTGAGATGGATCTACTGTTTTATTATTTTATTTATTTATTTTTTTTATTATTGTTTTTTTTATTGTTGAATGTAGATCCCCTAACTCTCTAGGTATGAGATGGTCATTGCTATTTTCTGCCGGTCAAATTTCTTCCATTGTATTTTCTTAGTTGGTCCTACTGCATTGAGGAATTTAGCTTTGTCCTTATTAAACTTGATTCTGAAGCAGAAGTTTTTCTCTTTCAGGAAAAGAGTGGGAGCTTGCCAGCAATTTTGAACCGGCTCAGCACCCATGAAGCGCCTCCAACTTTTCACCGAACAAACAAATTTACAAAGGCTTTCCAGGCTTTGATTGATGCATATGGAGTTGCAACTTACCGTGAAATCAATCCTGGTAAGCAATGGTCCTTGACTGTTATTGTTTATTTGATTTTATTATTCTTGAGTCCATGATTTCATACAGATATCTTGATTAGAAAAATTTAATAATCTATTGTGCTGAATGTTATTAACCCCTATGACCCAGATGATATTATGGTCCAGTCATAGAAAAATCTGGGTCGAGGGGCAGTTGACATGTACAAGCCAACATCAGGCAAAATGGCCGCAGGCTGGGTTACGTGAACGTGCCGTTATGAGCGAAGGCTAGAGTGACGGAAAAGCCTCGCAACGAGTGCACAAACCTCTTGGAGTGTGATTTGACTCATTTGGCACTAAAAAGGGGGACTTTAGCATTATTCCCATTGATAAATGAATGTGAAATGTAACACGCATAAGCAGTGACTAGAAGAGCGCTGACTCCAGGGAGGACAGCATTGCCATGCTATATTCCTGGCCACTGTGACTGATGGCGCAGGTTGTATTACTTAGAATTGAAAATTACGATAAAATAAGATATATACACAACCAAATGTAACTTTTTTTTTTCTTTCTTTCTTTCACTGCGTTATTTACTGCTTTTGGAGATGATATAGAGTCTGTGTAAATCAAAAGACAATTATGGACATTGGAAAATGGCAAAAAAGTTTTTTAAAGTTTACACAATAGCTTTGCAAAGGGTAGGCACAGTCTTGTCACCGCTCAGGGGTGGTCACATGTGCCTGGCCTGTGTGCCGCGCGTCTGGGATGTTGGCTACTTCTGTAACTCACTGCCCCTATTTTTACACGGTGATTTCCGTGAGGCAATGGTATCCGAGGGGTTAATTGATGATTTAGTGTGTGTAGCTTGGGATTGTCACTTAGTTTTACATTTTTATGGTATTATTTCAAATTGTTACTGATGTTTTCTCTTTCTCTCTCTCTCTCTCTCTCTAGCACCATACACCATCATCACCTTCCCCTTCCTCTTTGCCATCATGTTTGGCGATGTGGGTCATGGCATTATCATGGCCCTTTTCGGTGGATGGATGGTATGGAGGGAGAAGCCTCTCTCTGCCAAGAAGACTGACAATGAGGTTTGTTGTTTTTGTTTTACTATTTTTAGTAGTAGTAGTGGTTGTGGTTGTGGTAGTAGGTGGTAGTAATTGATATATGGCGGGTATATAGTTTTGGGAAAGGGGGAGCTTCAGATACTTTTAATATTTATAGTTGCTTAGGAATTACATTATTTGAAAGGATGGAACTTTATCATATTTTTGATACACACAGCTTAACTTCAAGTTGATTGTTACAAAAAATATTTTGAAGATCAGTAACTTTGTATACAAGTCCAGAGATTGGTTTCAAGATATTCTAGTACCCATTTTGTCTATATTTATGGTAAAAAAGTAAAGTCCAATTCATTTGTTTGAAAAATGTTATCTTATAGTAAAATGCTTTATAACAGTCAAGTCACAAAGGTGTAATAAGCATTAAAGGAGAGAATGCAGTAAGGCAGTCAACAGATCTTTCTTTTCTTTTCCAGATTTGGAATATTTTCTTCGGTGGTAGGTACATCATCCTGTTAATGGGCATGTTCTCCATGTACACGGGCCTGATTTACAATGACATCTTCTCCAAAGCCTTGAACATATTTGGTACATCATGGCATGGCAATTACAAGTAAGTGTTCTACTATTTTTATTATCATGAGTTATGTATACATTCAGTTGTATCGTACTTGAAACTGATTTTCTAGTTAATAAACCTGAGTTTTTATGTCAGGAAGATCAGATATAGGCTTAGTTGATATTACAATTCCTCATATTGCTTTCTGCAAAGCCTCAAATTGTGAAATACATTGAAGGGATATATGAAATACACTGACAATGAAAAAATTCATTGCAGTGAGAGCACCCTGTTAACCAACAAGGAGCTGACATTGGACCCAGGCAACAAGGAACAGTATGACCAGTACCCATACCCCTTTGGTCTGGATCCTGTTTGGCAGATTGCTCTCAACAAGATCAATTTCTACAACTCGTATAAAATGAAAATTTCCATCATTTTTGGCATCATCCACATGTTGTTTGGTGTCATCCTGAGTGTATGGAACCACAGGTGAGGTAACACTTGATTTTGGTAGTCTAAGTATGTAACCTTCTTCTTGGTCTTTGTCTTCTTCTTCTTCTCCTTCTTCTTCTTCTTCTTCTTCTTCTTCTTCTTCTTCTTCAATTAGGCCTTTGTGAAATCAGCTGACTTGCCCTTTCCTTGATTATTTTTTGTAAATGTTATTTATATTGAGACTGTTATTATTATTGACATGATTTGCTATATTGTTAACATTGCTAATTACTATGGGGAAAAGAATCTGAAACTCACAGAAAGGGGTAAACTGGTGAGATATAACTAGAATAAGCACTAATGAGATTTTCTTTCTAATCCATCTATCTATCTATCTTTACTCCTTTCTCTTTCTACAGGTTCTTCAACAAGCCCATGAACATCTACTGTGAGTTCATCCCCCAGATAATTTTCTTGACCTGCTTGTTCGGGTACTTGGTTCTTCTGGTGTTCCACAAGTGGGTATGGTACGGGGCAGGTGGTGCAGATAGCGTTTCTCCCAACTGTGCTCCTTCCATCCTCATCACCTTCATTAACATGGTAAGTGATAGGATGAAATTCATTTATATGATTTTGTGATTTATTGTGTAATGTGTATTTCATTAAGATGTGGTGGTATTTTTTCTTTAATAGTGTCTTTTGAATCGATACGAAAATTGGGTAAAGTGAGAGGTTTATAAACACAATGTTTTTCTAAGGATGGTAAGTAATGTTTCTTTTTAAATACAGGTCTTGATGAAAGGATATCAACCAACACCAGAGGGTGACCCCTGCTCACCATATATGTATGCTGGGCAGTTTGGCTTCCAACGATTCCTTGTTTGCGTTGGGCTGATATGTGTACCTTGGATGCTCATCGCTAAACCTTTCATTCTTCACCGTAATAACAAGCGCAAGCTGATGGTACAGTCTCTTAGCCTTTTATTACATTAGGTTTATTTTAAGTGCTAACGAATCTCTTACTATGTTATTGTTAAATATGTGCATATAAATGTTTATCTGTATTTTAAGCATATTTAGATTATGCTATTATTAGATGTTTGAAAAGTGAACCAAATTGCAGATTTTAAATTCATAAGCAATTGCTTTGTAAGGACAAATGAGGAGACATAAGAATGTGTTATGAGAAGTGATGGATAATTTCTTTTGAACAGATGTCACAAGCAAATGGAGGAGAAGGTGTCATTGAAGAAGGTGGTGGTGAGGCCGCAGCTGCCGCAGCCACAGAGGAAGTGCATGACATGGGGGAGATCATGATCCATCAGGGCATCCACACCATTGAATATGTCCTCGGCTCTGTGTCTCACACTGCCTCATACCTGCGACTGTGGGCCCTGTCACTTGCCCATGCTCGTAAGTTGAACCAGAGAGTTTCAGTTGTATGTTTTATATCTTATTTATATTGTAATGCTAAATGTTTTTACAATATAATATGAATGTCAATTATGTTGATCACAATAGTAAATCAAGGTACTTTAATTTAGGTAACCCCACACCATCTTGAGGAAAATTTTATTTGGCAGCTTCAGAGCTAAGCCCTGCCTTTGTTTTCATTCATTGCAAAAAATATTATTATTTATTTATTTATTCCATTGTTATTACTGAACCATTATCACTGAAAAACTTACCATAAAATGTTGCAGACCTAACAGGGTCAAAAAAGGGGGTGGAGTTAATGAGTGTGTGATGAGATATCAGCTATAGCTAGATGCATGATTATAGTATAGTTTATTTACATTTTATGATTGCCAGATGTAAAGGCAAAACTCCCCTCTTATGAATGAGAACAGAGTTCCTTGCCATTAACAACTGTCGAGCTACCTGGTTATATGTACCTTGAGTAAAGTTGGTTTAATTTTGGAATAACTTGAATTGTTTATTTGACAGAACTGAGTGAGGTGCTGTGGCAGATGGTTCTACGTGTTGGACTAACAGCTGGCGGTACAGGTGGGGTTGGTGGCGTTGTCACTTACTTCATCTTCGCAGCCTGGGCATCCCTCACTATTGCCATCCTTGTGCTCATGGAGGGGCTATCTGCCTTCTTGCATACCCTTCGACTGCATTGGTTAGTTTGTATTGTTATTGTTTTACTACCTTCTTGTTAATGTTGAAGTTTTTGACGGGATTTCATTTATGCAGTTGTAAGGTTAGCTTATCTTTAGATGCTTTTTGGTTGTATAGTGTAAAGATATCTACAAATAGAATTCCAAATTTGAGAAGTAGGTTATTTTGTAAGGTAATGCTCTACTTTACTATTTCTCAATTTATTTACAGGGTGGAGTTCCAGAGCAAGTTTTACGGAGGTGGTGGATACGCCTTTGTGCCATTTGCCTTTGAAACAATCCTTGAACATGCAGAAACAGCTGTTACAGAGTGATGGCCCAAGGAAAATTCAAACAAAAGAAAGAAATTGGAATTGAACAAGTATTAGTATTATTGATTGCATTATTATCTTGTTCTAGAATTTCTCAAAAAATCAGTATCATCCAGTGTTCAGCAATAGACTTTATGTATTCAAAATGCTTTTTTTTTTCTGTGTATCATAGATTTAAAATTTAAAATCCTGCATTTATAATAATCATGTTCTCATTGCAAAAAAAAAAAAGAAGAGATAGGTAAAGTTAGGGAAGCAGTAGTAATTTTTTTTTTTATTAATCTACTACCAAAAGCATCCGAGTTAAAAGCCAAATCCAGTGACTAAGCTTTGTGTACACCTGGAAAAACTAGTGTTATTCTGAGCTTTAGATTATATATGAATATATATATTGACATTGTTATATTGGATTAAAAGAATATAATGGCCATTCAATCAGTGTATTGAACAATAAATATTCAAATAACTGTTAATGTAAAATGAGGCTGTAATGATTTTTTTTGGCATGTGGCTTATTAAAAAATCTTCAGCAAGACACATCGTATATGATAAAAAAGCAAGGATATCTAGCTTTGCAGTTAGAGTAAGTGCTAGGAAAATGTTAATTTTCATAGTTCAGTGATAACCCCCACCCTTATTATTGCAATTAACTACAGGAGATTTTTGTTTGTTTATCCTTTTTTTATTTCTTTAAAATCTAGTTATTATTATTTATTATATTTTATTTATGATTTTGTAAAAGCAGCTCTAAAATTATCAGGAAGAATAATTATCTATTTTTATCATATTTTCATTGATGTTTGGGGGTTTCTGTCCTATTGTTTTCATTTTTGCCTACAAAAATGTTAGTGTTTCTTCTTACCCCCCCTCCACCCCTTGTATTCCAAACGAAATGGAACTTTTGCTTCAACAATAGTAAAAAGTAATGGTTTGACACTTTTTGTTAAATCTCAAGCACAATTTTTTAAAGGAATTTCATACTAGTTATACCTTTGAGTTGTGTATACAGCTTGACCTAGTTATTTCCTTAACTCATGTGACCATCATTTGATGAAATGAAGCAAAGAAAACTGTGTATTTTCTTCTTTTAAAAAGGAATTTTCCCTTTCCTGGCTTCTGTAATGGGTGCCATTTTTCTTCTTTCCTCTTTTATATTTATGTATTTTGAATGGCTGCATTTCGGGAATGTAAATGCATTTTGTGAATTTGGTTTGTCTGGAGAAGTGGGCATTTTATTTTGGCCACGAAAGTGTGTTTGTGTATTTAATACCATCATCTCTATTTGCAAGAGACTACTTGTTCAGATACTTTTAGTTCCTATTCTCACCATGTCTGTATGTTGTAGTGGAATTACCTTGTGAGAGCAGCTGAGGAATCTCATTTCGTCTCTGTGACCCTGTTGGTTTTAGACCTTGTCCCCATAGCCATCTTAAATATGATTTTTTATTTTTTTATTTTTTTCATTATTTTTTTGTGTCTAACAGAGAAAAGATTTTGTCAATTGATATGTATGAAGTAATGTAGTACGAATGTGAAGAGCATAAATTGTTACCTATGTTGCAAACTTTGGAAGATATTTCTAGTCATTGTTTGATTTGTTATGAGACCTAATTTGGCTTGTCTTCAATAAATTAAGTTAGAAAACCAATAAGGTTTGTATTTTTATTTTACTCCATATTATATATAAACTGTAGTTTTACAAGGCTGAAATTACACCCAATTTTTGGTTATCAACATTAAGAGGAAAAAGTATACATAAAATCTAATGACAATATTGCAAGCTTTGTGACTATAGTGATTCTACAACTGAAAATCAATATTGGAACAGACAAGTAAATACAGTGATGTCATTTATATTCCATAAAATAAACTTATATCTATTACCAATATATATATAAATATATATCATATACATACAAAGCAAAATGAAACGTGATATATGGTTAAACGGTAATCAACTGAATGTCTACACCAATTTCTAGCTGTAGTCACAGCCATTTTGTGAGAGAACATACATTCTCACTTCCCTGAATTTTCCCCCATTGGTTTACATAAATATTTCCATGACAATTGCTATAGCTTTTGGAGACAAATTCTCCTTGTTATTGCTGTATCCTGATAATAGTGCTTTACTACTGCTACATTCTTCTGAGTGAATATGAAATACATATGAGACCTATGTCTTTCAACTAATGTTCTCAAGAATAATTATTTTGAGGAATAATAATAATAATAATAAACATATAGACAAACAATATATACTTTTCTGGAAGGCAATAATTCTGTGAAGTATCAATATACAAGCCTTAGAAGATACATAATAGCATTACATAAATATTTAAAAAACTGCGCATATGTTCCATTAAATACGGACTTCCTTTGAGAAAGCAAAAAAAGAAATGGAAATACATTATAACTGTATATCCGCAAAAGTTCATCTTCACACACTCCATTCAAAGTTAGAATATGAACTCATACAATGCTATTTTAATTTCAAAATTGTATATACTTTGGACTGTAAGAGGACGCTAATCTCTTACCGACACTATAAAAACAGAAAAATGTTAAAAATATAACTTTTATCCTTATTCCAGGCAGTCAAAACGAGTATGAAATCTCTCACAACACATTCAATATACAAGGAGAGTTAATTACTGACACTCAGTATATCTTAAAACAAAATATGAGACACTGAAGATAAGCATCAACTGCATGATAAATAAAATCTGATACTCCACTACAAAAAGTAATTTTATACTGACAAATCATCTGCAAGCAAGTGCCACTTCAATTTTTCCTGCACAATATATTCATATCTCAACATTAGATATGATACCTTGCTTTCTACACAGTACAAGGGGTGGAATATATTTCATTAGCCATGATAAAGTAGGTGAATATCTATTTGATATACCATATATAAATATACATACTATCATTATATATATATATATATATATATATATATATATATATATATATATATATATATATATATATATCACAATATCATCTACTATCACAACCATACATCTATAAGTATATATAACCAGTCACATATCCATTTTAAAAAATCAAGTCATTCCAGTTTCACTTCCACTTTTCATACATTACAGAATTCTTTTCAACATGCAACAGTACATATGCGATATCTGGAGTGTTTGCCACATTTCATGACATCATTGCCAGATTGTCCTTTTTGCTCTGAACAAGGTACCTGGTTGACAAGGACTGTAACTGTGTGATTTCCAAATTTGCTTTAAGAGTGATTTATTTATTCCTTTCTATTTTGTGGAAAATAAGTAAGATGTGGCCAGAAAGAAAAAAAAAAAGAAGAAAAATGCAAAATTTATATATATTTTTCTACAAAAATATTTCAATATTACAAAGGCAAAGAGGATTGCCTAAATGTTTCTAGTTTCTTAGACATCCAATCCAATAATGGAAAAGGTATAAAACAGAGAACTTAAAATCATAAAATCTGTCAATTTCTATTTAAGAAGTTTCCCCCCCACTTTTTTATGGCACCTTCAACTACTAAAAATATCACAAACTCATTTTCTTCCTCCAGTGATAAGAATATCACCACATCACAGCCTACTTCCTCTGGCGAACTTCAGCATCTTTGTTGTGGTCAGCAACACTTTTCCTGTAAGAAAAAAATAAAAATGAGATTGGTTAAAATCAGAAAAAACTAAATGCATTGAATCATATACATATACATATTAGATCTAATCATTATACAACAATATACATCATAAGAAATCTTCCCCATTACTGATGCATCTGCTACATACTTTATTTTCTGTGCCCTCCCATATCTTTCTCTTTTTCTCTCCTTCATTAATGGTCATTCACCGATCAAACACGCTGAGGCCCAGATATCCACTCAGACACACTCTATTGTAATGAACTGTACCTGTGTCTCCTCTAAAGTACTTATCTAGCAAACTCACTGGTCTGGGGCTGGGTCTGAGTCAGAATCATCGAAGTTGGCCTTGATGCGACGTTTCTCGTAGATGAAAATAATGACACACAGGATAATCACCTCAGCAACGATGGCAAGGAATGGCCACAGGGCAGCATAGATGTCTGAAAAAGAAAACAAACCAGTTAACAAATATATTTCAGGGAGTTCAGGAACAAAAACATTTAATAATCTTGTTTTTTAAAAAATCCTATCCTCTTTAAACAGACTAATAAAACTTCTTTGATTCTAAACATCAATTCATCAAAGCTCATACACAAAACAACTCACTCAAAGAACCCTACCTTTCACACGAACTTCTGTGGTGGTGTTCAACTGAAGAGAATACTGCTTAACCAAGCAAATGTAGTTTCCAACATCTGACTTGAGGATGGGTTTGATCAGCAGACTGGCATTAGGGACGTTGTGCTCATTCTCAGAGAAAATAAGTCTGGTGGAGTTGATGGAGTCTTCCATGAGTTCACCATCTGAGGAAAGAGGTGAAAGGTATGTGAACTAAACTATGGCTGTCAGATGTTGTACAAAAATAAAATTCTGATACCTAAAACCAATGTTTTTTATCTACAGTCAAATCCTTTATTCAGCATTCCTTGTCTATTCTTAGTAGTATCCTTACTTTCTTAACAATATGTTTGATGTTTGTGCACATATGTGAAGGATAAAACATTGAATTGAAAATCTATATAATAATGGAGGTACTTACTCTTCAGCCACTGGACAGTGGGGGGTGGGTTGCCTTCAACCTGACAGGAAAGAGCCAACTTGTCATTCTCCAAAACTGTGGTGGACTCTGGGAGGTTCTTATGGAGCTTCAGTTCTGTAAGAAGGAGGGCACTGAACAGATAGCAGAGAGGAAGTATGACAACAAATAATGAAAAAAAAAGAACACGAAATCAACAAGAAAAGAGGAGATTACAACTAATCTTATCTTTAACAAAATCAGAAATGCACAATTTCAAGCAAATATTGTAAAATCTACATATCATAAGTGTGGTGACTGGCAGTATGACATCTATAACACTAATACTAACTAGAGGCATAGTGGAGAAAGTGAGTACGAGGCTAAGGATATTCAGCACTAAAGGGCATGATGGAAATCAAATGTCCTTTCACAAACGTAACGTACAGTAAATCAAACGGGCCTCGGACCACTTACTGAATCTTAAAATGTACCTACAACCTCTTAGCTGTATGTCATATAATATACTCTGGGAACATGTTAAGTCATTACCAACACTAACAGAAGAAAGAGGGGGGGGAAAAAAAAAAAAAAGGATCACCCACGATACTTACGAACAACATTGAAGACTTTAGGCTCATCTTGGCCTTCGTGTTCACAGGTGTACTCTCCAATGTCATCAACTTTAGCAGAAACAATGTAGAGGGTGGTGTTTTTGAAAACCTTTGTGTTTTCATCCTCAACGACTTGCTTCCCATCTTTGGACCTTGGAAACAAAAATATCAGGAATTCTATAGCAACGTTACTACGTAATTTCATGTCCACATATTAATCAATAATAAATGGGATATGGAAAACTGCCCTGTCAAAAGCCACTTACCAAACAGTGTCTGTATTTGTGAGGTTCTGGGAGCAGGTTAGAGAGAGGGGAGAACCCTCAAGTAGTAGGCGAGTTCCTTCTGTCTCTGTCACTGAACCTGCAAGGATATTCAGTGATAAGAAAAGAAGAAAATTGATAATAATAATAATAAAAAAAAGTTATAGCAAATCTGACGATGAACTTTAAATCAATATCTTATTTTGAATCTGATCAAGAGAAGAGAAGAGAAGAAGAGAGAGAAAAGAAGAGAGAGAGAAGAAGAAGAAGAAGAAGAAGAAGAAGAAGAGAAGAAGAGAGAGAGAAGAAGAAGAAGAAGAAGAAGAAGAAGAAGAAGAGAGAGAAAGAAGAGAGAGAGAAGAGAAGAAGAAGAGAGAGAGAGAGAGAAGAAGAAGAAGAGAAAGAAGAAGAAGAAGAAGAGAGAAGAGAAAGGAGAAGAAGAAGAAGAAGAAGAAGAAGAAGAAGAGAAGAAGAAGAAGAAGAAGAAGAAAGAAGAAGAGAGAAGAAAAGAAGAAGAGAGAAAAAGAAGAAGAGAGAAGAAAAAGAAGAAGAGAGAAGAAAAGAAGAAGAAGAGAGAGAAGAAAAGAAGAAGAGAAAAAGAAGAAGAAGAAGAGAGAGAGAAAAAGAAGAAGAAGAGAAGAGAAGAAAAAAGAAGAAGAAGAAGAGAGAAGAAAAAGAAGAGAAGAGAGAGAAGAAAAGAAGAAGAAGAGAGAGAAAGAAAAAGTAGAGAGAGAGAGAAGAAAAAGAAGAAGAAGAGAAGAGAAGAAAAAGAAGAAGAAGAGAGAGAAGAAGAAGAAGAGAGAGAAGAAAAAGAAGAAGAAGAGAGAGAAGAAAAAGAAGAAGAAGAGAGAGAAGAAAAGAAGAAGAAGAGAGAGAAGAGAGAAGAAGAGAGAAGAAAAAGAAGAGAAGAGAGAAGAAAAGAAGAAAGAAGAAGAAGAAGAAGAAAAAGAAGAAAAAGAAGAAGAGAGAGAGAGAGAGAGAGAGAGAGAGAGAGAGAGAGAGAGAGAGAGAGAGAGAGAGAGAGAGAGAGAGAGAGAGAAGAGAGAGAGAGAGAGAGAGAGAGAGAGAGAGGAAGAGGAAGAGGAAGAGGAAGAGGAAGAGGAAGAGGAAGAGGAAGAGGAAGAGGAAGAAGAAGAAGAAGAAGAAGAAGAAGAAGAAGAAGAAGAAGAAGAAGAAGAAGAAGAAGAAGAAGAAGAGAAGAAAGAGAGAAGAAAGAGAGAGAGAGAGAGAGAGAGAGAGAGAGAGAGAGAGAGAGAGAGAGAGAGAGAGAGAGAGAGAGAGAGAGAGAGAGAGAGAGAGAGAGAGAGAGAGAGAGAGAGAGAAAGAGAGAGAGAGAGAGAGAGAGAGAGAGAGAGAGAGAGAGAAGAGAGAGAGAGAGAGAAGAGAAGAAGAGAGAGAGAGAAGAGAGAAAAAATGAGAAAAGAGAAATACACACACACACACAAAATGAAATTCTTTAATACTAAATGCAATTTACCATTTACAGCAAGGGTTCGCGATCATACCATTCAGCGATAATTTAGAAGATCTAATTTTCCTTCTGTCTGCACCTCTCCCCTTCCCCCCCATTTACATTTTTATCCACATCTCTCATTCCCTCTCTGCTTATTTCTTTCCCCCTCCCTTAATTCTTCTTTGTCTCCTTACTACCTCTCCTTTCTTTTCTGTCTCTCTTTCAATTTAGACCTTTGAAATGCTTTTTATTTTCCTCTTCCATTCTACATTTATGTAATCTGTTGGAAAAAGATACACAGACAGAGGGATATGGATTCATCTTTGCGTATATGGGAGTAAGTATATCAGGGTCTGGGCTCTCACAATTTCAACGAACCAGCTATATATCATGTCTAGTTTTCAGAGATTACTATTACTTATTTTCTGTTGTTCAAAATATCTAAGCAATATTCAAGTATAACCTTATATACTCATACATCACTAATACCTTTCAAATTCTTTATCTTTTATTCTAAAATGTTCTAAAGCTCTTGTAATCTTTCTTGTCAATGAAATTACACATCCTTTTATTGTATATAATTGGAGAAACATCTAAAAATCGTCCACCATAAACAGCTAATTCTGTCATTAAATATATATATCTTTACCCAAGAAGCTGAAACAAGATATTACATATCTCTTTCTTCATGAAAATATTAAAAGCTTTTGCATACTAAAGAATCAATACCGAGTAAATGTATTACTTTCAACATCACATTTTCTACTTGATGCTATCATACTGCATCTCATAATAAGATATTTCATTACTTTTGCATCTAAGCTAAGTTTACACTATGAATACAATACCATAGCCAAGATCATATAACTGCAACAATCTTTACATCCCTATATCATCTTACCACCAATGACATAGACAGAATGAGTTTTATCAGTTAATGGGGAACACTTGTATTCCCCGGCATGGAAGGTATGAGCCTGCACAACTGATAAACGACTCACAACGTATCCCTGGGTTCCATGACCTTCAAGTAAGGTAAAGCTGCCGCAATTGAAGTCATACCATTAGTCTTTGTTTGTGAAAATAGAAGGCTTAGTTTTTGGAACATAGATATTGTCCCTTATATTGAATCTTCATCTTTTCATCTGCATTAATCTACATCTCCTTTATGAGTCAATATTCACCAAAGGATATTATGACATAGTTTTCCAAAAACTAAAATTTCTCTTCATCTCTTACCCAGCCTCCCCTGGGATGACAGCATTACCATTGAATGTCCACTGAGGGTACACATCCACTGTGGTAATGCATGTTATGGAAAATTTGTCTCCAACTGCCACAAAATGATGGCCGCTGTACTCAAGATCAATTCCTCCTCCGCTGTCATACCTACCTACTCCTGAACCTGAACTCCCAGACACTGCACCTCCAGCACCTGTTGGAAGAAGGAAACATGGCAGTTAAAATCTTGTTTTGAAGGCAGGATCAAATCCATTCTGAAATCTGCATTGAATAATACTAACAAACATTTCATGCTCTTTAAGCAAACCATAATCAGGAAGATGTTTTCATTTTCCAGTTACAATAAACTCTGAGACAAAGTCAATACATATAAGATTTAAAGTTTTGTGCAACAATTATCCAATTGTTACATAGATATATAGTCTCTTACAAAATTACTTGTGATATAGAGGTTGCAACAAACAGAAGCA